TTTTTTTTGGTGTGTGTGTGTGTGTGTTGTTGTTGTTGGTGTTGCCTTTCCTTTTGGTTCTGTTGCCTTTTCGTTCTAACTCTCTGAGTCACATTTTCGACTTTCAAAAGGAGTCTCGCCCAACACCACTACCATGCAGCGGCCTACCTGCCCGAGGAGCCCTTGAATTCAGGAGGAGGGTCTCAAAAGTATAAGCGGGGTATTAGTGGTTTCAAAGCGCTGTGAGATAGTTCTGAACCACAATTTAACTTGACAAGCTATGTTCACTTGAATCGACACATTTACGTTTTGGCTCTATTTGTGTGTGACCGTGTGGTGATTTTTTGTTTTGTTTTAATGTGTATGTGATTGAGCAGGGCACTTGGTCGAGGGTCTCCCGTTCCATCTACTCTGGCTTGATACGGTCGATCAGAATACTCAAGAGGACAAGAGGGTGATTAGTAGAATTTGCTCGCCGTGGGTGAGATTGCTCGGGGAGAATGCGGCGATCGTCGGATACGCGCGGTTGTTCCAAGCAGCCAAGGGTCCAGTTGTGAGCACCTCTAACGAGACTCGAGTCTGGGAGAGGAGAAAGAGTGAGGACGGGGCGTTCGAATGGAAATTGGTACACCTTCATCGGACCACGGCACCTATGTGGGACACGTAACCTCTGTAAACAGAGTTATTACATCGCGGCCGAGTAATGTGCCTCGATGTTCACCGAGTTAAGTGCTGTGGGTGAGTTTGTCGCCAGATTTCTTGAGGAATTCAGAGGAGCGCAACGTCTGCTGAAACTCTCCTTCAGCAACTGAGCACAGGTATTCATCGAATCGACGGATTCCTTATTCCCGTAAAACGCATCCACACGTCTTCTCGAGTACGGAAACGAACACTTCACTTATTTTCTGCGGACTCTGTGCGGAGGATCGAGTCCAGTTGACCTTCAGTAGTCGTTTGCAAACGGGGTTCGGCTTTTTTTTTTTTTTTTTTTTTTTTTGTGACACTACGATGTTTTGAGAACGTGAATCTGTTCATGCAGTTCACGTAAGGTGGCGCCAAAGTCTGCCGACAGAACATGACAAGGTGCGCTTACGTTTGCCATTGCGTCTTCGTGATCTGTATGCCAGGTTTTGTCAGTAGAGCATGTCCACATGGAGTGTCTTGGCGTTGGGTGGGTAAGTTGAAGGGGTATCAGAGAAAATAAATTGGGCTGCATGTGCATTGCACATGGTCACAATCGTGCCAAGGATCTATATCCGGCGCTTGTCGATCGGTGTAGATCTCATCTGTGAGCGCGTGCTTGTTGTGGCACGGGTTGTACTCGTTGTGCAGCAGAGCGCTAGGTTACGTACTGCTCCCCTGCAATTCGTAGCCGTGACTGCCGCAATAACGGGAGCATGATTCATTCTGCGAAACGACAGACGGGTTATGCTAAAAGAACGGACATTTGTTTATGACTGTTCAAGTAAGCTTGTATGCCCAATTAGGTGGGCTCGCAACAGTTGCTGATAGTTGACGGAATTTGAAATGAAGATTACGAAGTGCCGTCAGTATTTATGTTGGGGGTTGTAGCAGTCTCACATCAGTCAAGTCGTGAAAAATCGCCGCAGTCCAAAAAACACCTGGAATAGCAGATTTGCGATAGACTCCGAGAGACAGTTGGTTAGACGTTTTGGCCTCCAGCGAAGCACGACACACACACACACACACACACACACACACACACACACACACACACACACACACACACACACACACACACACACANCACACACACACACACACACACACACACACACACAGAGAGAGAGAGAGAGAGAGAGAGAGAGAGAGAGAGAGAGAGAGAGAGAGAGAGAGAGAGAGAGAGAGAGAGAGAGAGAGAGAGGTAAATCGCTCTGGCGATTGGTTCTGCTAGCGTCACTCACAAATGACAGTTTTCTGTTGTCTCACAGTCAATTATCTTCCTCTATTCTTCTCGACTGTCAATTCCTTGGCCCCATGCCCACGAAGTTGCTTGTGGGAGTTGCTGACGATGAAAGAGGGAATGCACATCACGGCTTGCACCAACCCATGCAGACAGAAAAAGACCGTCATCGTGCGATCGTCGATTGGGCGGAGCAGATAGAAAAGGCAGGCGTCCACGTAGCCAGGGTGTCCAAGTCACTTTGCACATGCTACGGATTCGTCAGTGCAAGGAACAATGGGTTGTGCATGTATAGTAGAAACAGCTTACTTGCATTTATCGAAATTTATTCCCTGATTAACTGAGGGAAGGGCATCAGTGTAAAATTTGCTGTAGCCAGTGTCAATCCGAGGATGCCGTTGATTCAGGGTCGGCGGGGCACATGAGCAGCAGACGTCGATTGATCAGTGGAGGCAGAGCAGCAGGAAGGTTTTGTTCCGTTGGACTGACTTCTTTCTGAATAAATAGCACCTTGTCTGGTGACCGATGTTTTTTTTTTTTTTTCCCTCTTTTTTTTTTAGACCATTTTTCGATTTCTGCTTGTCATCCTTGCGCAGGGGGGTAGTCGTTGCACTTGGCTGATATTTGTCGGTCTATTGAATGAGATTGAACAAAAAGACGCCGCCGCCGCATCGTCATTGGATGACGATGCAGCTGTCTTCTTTCTTTGCACATTTTGCGAGGAACGCGGATTGTCCCATGTCCCATTCCGACTGGAACCATGCCATTTCATTATCGGGCCCAGCCTGGCTCAACCACAGGGCAAACTGGAAACTGGAATTGAAGTGTGTACTGCCTTCAGTCAACTTAATCGTTGACAGATAGGCCTTCTCTGTTTCACTCATCTTACACGAGAGTAGGATATCAATGGGTACCCCTTTAAAGGCCCTTTTGCATTTAGGAGGTGGGGTAGAAGGATGGATGAATGGACAAGACCATGGGTTGCTTCATGCCAGCGGTTGTGACCATGTTCCAACTATTCCTGTCCCTTCCCCTTCCCTTCCCGTCGCCTCCTTTTCTGAATAACATGGCTTTGTCGAACAGCAATTTTAAAATTTTTGTTTCCAACTGCAATAAGAAGGGGAGGGTTAAAGAAGAGGCTGGCGCCTGGCGGAGAGACACAGACCTCCGAAGAACTGCCCGTCGTCTATAAGTCGTTTCAAGTTTTTCTTCTGAGCATTACATCCCGTGTATGGACGAAGTTAGGCGCACCTCGCCGGACGGGAACCTTGATCGGAAGCCATGCACAGCTCGCTGGACGGGAACCTGGATCGGAAGTTACGCATAGCTCGGCGGACGGGAACCTGGATTGGATGCGGTTCTTTCTCGTCTCTGGCCCTCTGCCGACCCTGGCTCCACGCCTCTGCCAACGCTGGGACCACAGCTTTGTTGAGAGTAGTTCTTTCCAGTGTCTGGCCCTCTACCGACCCTGGCTTCATGCCTCTGCCAAGCCTGGGCCCGCAGCTTTGTTGAGAGTACCGATTTCCATATGGCGGGAACCGTAACTTTATTTGTTGAACTTGGGAGGAATGGGATGGTGCAATGGACCAAACAGGCTCTGGTCTTGTGAGTTGCAATCAGGCATATGACAAGAGTACTCCTGCTAGAAGGAATGAAGGTCCATTCTTTTTTCTTGCTGTGAAGCGTTTTTCTTAATTTAAGCTCCCCGAAAACATCAGGATATTTGGTCAGTTAAAGGTTCATTGTTTCCTATCTTGCGGCTGTTGAAAGTGTTGTTGGGTGTGTGTGGCTTTTTCAATTTTGAGGGCGAGTTCTGTTTTCTGGTGCTGCGGTGTGTAAAATGCTGCATATCCTCTGTGGATATTGCGGTATTAGGTTGGGTCTCAGCCTGCCTCCTCACAGTTTTTTTTTTTGTTTTGTTTTGTTTTTGTTTTTGTTTTGTTTTGTTTTGTAGTTGCTAGAACGTGCTTCCGATTTTTTCTTTTATATTGGTATAATACCCGCAGGTCATCTTTTTTGCGAAAGTCTTAGGAAAAGTGTGTGGTTAAAAAAAAAAGAAAAAAAAGTGGTTATTAAAAAGAGAAGAAAGAAAGAGGTGTGTGTGTGTGTGTGTGTGTGTCCTTGGAGTGTGTGTCAAGACACTTGATGGTACGGTAACCATAATATGTACGGGCGGGCTCCGACTGCTGTGTCGGCAAATCTTGAGTGAGGCAAACACGAGAGTAACATTACATCCAAATGCAACTAGACCGCTCCATTCCCATGTACCATCTGATTTTCAACAAGGTGAAAATTATCGAACTGATTCCGGACGTTTTGCTGTTTCCTTCGTAACCAAGGTCCTTCCCCTGTTCGTCCGGCGGGATTGTCCGGTCGGATGTCCTCCCGGGGCACAGTCTATCTGGAGCCCGAACGCCAAAAAAGAAGGAAAAAAAAGGAAACAAAAGAAAAAAAAAAGAAACCAAAAAAAAAATAATGCTATGCATAAAAATAAACTGAACAGGTTTCCCCTTGGGACCACATCGAAATTCTTTCTCGAATTTACAATAAAAAATAAGAAGAAATGAAATTAAATTATTAAAGTCACCCCCAGTATGTTTTCGAAACTTTTTCTTCTTTTCCGTGCTTTAAACTGTTGAAAATGGAGTTCTCCGGACCCGGACGTCCGGGAACCTGTCTCTTATACACATCTAGATGTGTACTGGCCAGAACGTCCGCCCAGGACGTCAGTGCAAAAATGTGGAAGTGAAGACTCATTCTCAAAGTTCTTCAAAAGAATCAGAGAAATCAGACTTCATGTTGCACCAGCGTCCAGGAAAATGGCCAAATGGCCACCCAAAGGAAAGAAAGGGAAGAGTTGCTCAAGAACGCAATAGAGATGGCATAGTTTAACCTACTAGGCTACAACTCAACACCATCTCATAATTCTTCGCAAAGCTGTATTCAAATTCCAAAAGGGAACTCGCAGAATGGACCAAACTGATACTGCAAGGTCTCCAATGGAGAGACGTGGATGAAAAGATGGCCAAATGCTTGTTCTAAAAAAACAAATGCGTCCTTCGGGACATCCGTAAAAATTGGAACGATACAGAGAAGATTAACATGGCCCCTGCGCAAGTAAGGATGACACGCATAAATCGAGAAATGGTCCAAAAAAATAAATGCAACTCCAGAAACTGAAAAAGAGAAAGCCTCGTAGATTCCAACGGCGTACCAACCTCAGAAACCACTCAACCAGTCAACATAGCAGCTACTTGTAAAGTTTTCATAAAGATCTTTATACATCATCAAAACGTAAGAAGCCGGTCGGAGTACTGAAGTCTCACAAGAGTTGGAGATAAATTTTTAACCCACCTGGATGGCTTCCTATCAACTGAAGCAGGGTAAATAGTTCTTCTAGTACTCCAGGGTAAATAATTCTTCTAGTACTCCAGGGTAAATACTCTTCTAGTACTCCAGGGTAAATATTTCTTCTAGTACTCCAGGGTAAATACTTCTTCTAGTACTCCAGGGTAAATACTTCTTCTAATACTCCAGGGTAAATACTTCTTCTAGTACTCCAGGGTAAATACTTCTTCTAGTACTCCAGGGTAAATACTTCTTCTGGTACTCCAGGGTAAATAGTTATTCTAGTACTCCAGGGCAAATACTTTTTCTAGTACTCCAGGGTAAATACTTCTTCCAGTACTTCGACTGCTTCAGTTGATAGGAAGCCTTGAGGAACTATTTCCCCTGGAGTACTAGAAGAACTATTAACTATTTACCCTGGAGGAACTATTCCAAGACTTCACCAGCCTTGTTTGTTTTCTTTTGAGCCTTCTAAATATTTTTTTTTTGTTTTTGATAAGGATATGAAAGTTGAATGAAACCAAATAAAGCTCCAGGCAAAGATGGACCATCTAAAAAATGCTTGCTAGCATGACACATCTTAGGCCCCCTACTCCTAACTTTTCTCAACGAAGCATGGACTAAAGAATCCTTAGGCTCGGACATAAGTAYGGGAGTAGTGACCCTCCTCTTTAAAAAGGAGACGAGGAAGACATCAAGAATTACAGACCTGTATCGTTGTTGAATGTGACCTACAAAATCCTAGTCAAAATATTTCCGGCAGCTGGGTGGTGGGAAGAGAAGTATGGGATATGTTTGGTGTGTATTTTTCCAACCATCCTGATTTACGTCGTATATTAACAGATTATGGTTTTGAGGGTCATCCCCTTCGATACAAACTGTTAGCATCCAGAATTAACCATCTCATTGCAAGATGYTTTCACCTAGACCAGAAAGGCTTCATTGCAGGCAKAACATATTAGATAACATAATGAACCTAACCGAAGCATTGCCAACCAGGATAATAAACGAAAAGAGGATCACAACCGCTATCCTATTTTTTTGACTTTGGAAAAACCTACGAGTCTACGACTAGATCAATTGAGACTTCCTACAAATATGCATGRAAAAAATGGATGTAGGCCAGAATTTTCGTAAATGGGTGAGATGTTATACAATGACGCGCAGGGGATAATCGAGGTCAATGGGTTCCTATCCAACCCCTACAAAATGTCGAGATCRGTGAGACAAGGCAATCCATTACCAGCTGCAATTTCCCTCTTCGTTGTGSAAGCAATTCCAGCCATTCCTAAGTAAAAAACATCTCTATAGAAAGACTGGAAAATATATGAAATAAGAGGGGTAGAGTAGTACACCTCCCGACCTGTGTAGCACACTGAACATGTTCGGCGCCCCGCCGAGCAGCCGAACATGTTCGGACGCTCGGCCGAGTGGGAACCGAACATGTTCGGCCGAGCGCAAATTAGGGGGCTGCCGAGCGCGACCTCGTGTGTGTGTGGTGTGTGTGTGTGTGTGTGGTGTGTGTGTGTGTGTGTATGTTGAGGAGTGATGAGCAATGCCCCCCAAGCCCCCCCAACCCCTATATATAGGGAAAAAAAAAACTCGGGCTCGGTCTATTTTGGGGCACGTTGGGACTCGGTACCGAGCGTCCGGTCACCGAGCCCGAACGCGATGCTATGCAGCTCCTGACCACCCTACTCTCCGTGGATGATCTAACTGTTCTAATTAGAGCCACTAAATCCTACTTCCAGGTACTAACTAGAGCCATGCAAGCCTTTCAGTTAGCCTCACCGCCTACGGGCACCCTACTACCCCAATCAGATATGAAAGTCAGTCGGCCAAAGAAAGTAGGTTGGTGGGTGTCACCAACCCCACCGCCTTTGGAAAATGTCCTAGAAGGCCTCCTACGGGCAGACCCTACTACCCCAMTCCGGTTCCTAGGAATGCAACTAAATATGAAAGGAAGCCACTCCACATCAGCAGCATCCCTGTTAGTAGCAATGGTCAACGACATGCATAGATGACAACGATCCTATACTTTCCCTCTAGGCAGGGTTCTGRCGCTCAACAACTCGATCTTCGCCATGATGTGGTATGCCACACCACACCCATCTGGTTCCTAACAATTCCCTTTCAACAACAAATAAGAAGAAGCGCAATAGCGT